AGCTCTGAAGATATCTTGCCAGTCCTTTCTGGCCTGCCACGTCTCTGTGGATAGGTCTGTTGCCAATCTAATGTTTCTACCATTGTAGGTTACAGATCTCTTCTCCCGAGCTGCTTTCAGGATTTTCTCTTTGTCTCTGAGACTCGTAAGTTTTACTATTAGATGTCGGGGTGTTGACCTATTTTTATTGATTTTGAGAGGGGTTCTCTGTGCCTCCTGGATTTTAATGCCTGTTTCCTTCCTCACATTAGGGAAGTTCTCTGCTATAATTTGCTCCAATATACCTTCTGCCCCCCTCTCTCTCTCTTCTTCTTCTTCTGGGATCCCAATTATTCTAATGTTGTTTCATCTTATCGTATCACTTATCTCTCGAATTCTGCCCTTGTGATCCTGTAGTTGTTTCTCCCTCTTTTTCTCAGCCTCTTTATTTTCCATCATTTGGTCTTCTATATAGCTGATTCTCTCTTCTGCCTCATTTATCCTAGCAGTTAGTGCCCCCATTTTTGATTGCACCTCATCAATAGCCTTTTTGATTTCGATTTGGTTAGATTTTAGTTCTTTTATTTCTCCAGAAAGGGTTTCTCTAATAACTTCCACGCTTTTTTCAAGCCCAGCTAGTATCTTTAAAGTCATGATTCTGAACTCTAGGTCCGACATCATACTAATGTCCGTATTGAGTAGGTCCCTGGCTGAAGGTACTACCTCTTGTTCTTTTTGCTGGGGTGATTTCTTTCGTCTTGTCATTTTGTCCAGAGGATAATAGATGAATGAGAGAACGAAATCCTAACAGGTTTACAATGTCCCCAGCAAATATACTGTATACAAATCAGAAAAGACCTGAAACCAGGGGAAAAGAAAGGGAAAGAAAGAAAAAAGAAAGAGAAAAAGAAAAAAAAGATAAAAACAAAAACAAAACAATACAAAAAAAGCAGAATATGATCAAATATGATCAGGCTAGTGCATAGATCAGTGCCACACACTTTTGGGCGTATTTTGGTCTGTTAGAAAAAGTGTCTCCTAAAATTTTAAAGGAAGAAAGACATATATGTACAAAATAAGGGTTGATACGATGAAGGGATGGAAGATGACTGTAAAGATGAAAATTATAAAACATTTTATAAAAGGACTTGGTAAGATAAGTTGTTTGAAAAAAGAAAGAAGATTTAAGGAAAAAAAAAGGAAAAAGCGAGAGAATGTGATCAGGCAGGAGACTAGAACAAAGCCATACACTAGTGATTTAGGGTATATTTTGATCTGTTAGAAGAAACTGTACCTCAAAATTTTAAAGAGAGAACAACTTATATATATATGCCAAAAATAAGGGTAACTACTATGAAGGGATAAAATATGACTCTAAAAATGAAAAATAAAAAATGTTTTTTTTTTTTTAAAAAGGGATTGATAAGATGTTGGTTGAAAAAGGGAAAAAGAAAAATAAAAAAAACAGTCAACAAAAATTAACTTTGATGAAATAATGGATCATGGTAGAAAAAAAAAAAAAAGCCATGAATCTATGTGCAGTATTCCCCTAGCGCTGGAGTTCTCCCATTCTCCTTGATTGATCAACTTGGTCTTGGCTTGCTGGCTGTTTGTGCTGATCTTCTGGGGGAGGGGCCTGTTGCTGTGGTTTCCAAATGTCTTTGCCGGAGGCGGAATTGCCCCGCCCTTGTCGGTCCGGGCTAAGGAAGCTGCTCGGGTTTGCTCTCAGGAGCTTTTGTTCCCTGCAAGCTCTCGGTACAGCTTTGGAGGACCAGGGCAGAAATGGTGGCCTCCCAATCTCCACCCGGAGGAGCTGAGAACTCGGGGCCCCGCTCCTCAGTGTGCCCCCAGAGAAAGGCAGTCACTTCCGTGTCCCCGTTCTCCGGCCGCACTCCGTGCTCACCCGGCCTGTGACCGAGCATTGCTATCTCTGGCACCCGACCCCGCACGGAGTCTCCAAACCCAGCAGATCCCTGCGGTGCGCTCCCGCACCGCTCCTCCCCGGGAAGGAAGGGGAGTCTCCCCGGATCTGCTGCTTGTTGGGTCCGTGCTGGGGGAGCCGTGCCCCGACTGCGCCGCAGATCACAGTTTATGGCAACCCCGAGCTGAGAGCCTGCGACTCTGCTCCGACTCTGCAGCCGGCTTCCCCGCTCCGATACCTGGGAGCTCTGGCGCACTCAGGCACCCCCGGTCTCTCTGTGACCCCAAGGGTCCTGAGACCACACTGTCCCGAGAGGATTCCACCCCCCGCTTAGCCACTGCAGCGACGTCCCTCCGCTGAGCCAACTTCTAAAAGGTCCGATTTTGTGCTCCGCGGCTCTATCACTTGCCAGAAGCGGCCGGCGGAGGCCCCTCCCCCGCCGTCTATCCTCCCGAATATCGCCTCGGATTCACTTCTCCGCATGCCCTACCTTCCAGTAAGTGGTCGCTTCTCTGTTCAGAGAGTTGTTGCTACTCTCCTGTTCGATCTCCTGTTGAGTTCGTAGGTGTTCAGAATGGTTTGATCCCTATTCAGCTGAATTCCTGAGACCAGACGAAATCTAGGTCTCCTACTCCTCCGCCATCTTGCTCCGCCCCCTTGATACCTCTTTTTAATCTCCACAGCCAAGATCAGCCCCTGGCATTTGGCTCTGTCTGGATGATCAAGGCAGTGCTCTCCAATAAAATACAATGCAAACCACAGACATGATTTCCAGTAGCCACACTAAATAGAAGGAAGAAGAAACAGGTGAAATTAATTTTACAAATATAGTTAATGCAACCCAGTACATCGAAAATATTATCATTCCAACACGTAATGAATATAAAAAATATTGAGATATTTTGCAGTCTTTATTTTCATATGAAGTCTTTAAAATCTGGTGTGTATTTTACACTTTCAGCGCATATATAGCACAGGTGGCTAGGGGCCGTGGGACTGGACCGTGAAGGCCTAAAAATAGCAGGTTTGGCTCTGGGTAAAAGCAAAAGCCTCAACAGATCATAATTAAAACAGAAACTTACATTAGAGACCTCATCCCTACGACCCGCCTAAGGATGAGAACGGCTGGTGGGCACTTTGTGAAATTTATTTCTTTTAACATTTTTTTTAAAAAGATTTTTTTTTTTATTTGTGTGTGTGTGTGTGTGTGAGAGAGAGAGAGAGAGAGGGAGCGAGCAAGCAGGAGCGGCGGGAGGGGTAGAGGGAGAGGCAGACTCCCCTCTCAGCAGGGAGCCCCATGTGGGGCTCGATCCCGGGACTCCAAAGGCCACCCCGGTGCCCCTCTCTTAACATTTTTGTAGCTCTGAGGATTTCACTTTCTTCACATCTGTACCATTATGGGTGTTTTACTTTAAGGGCCGGCGGTGATGACCCCCACGCCCCACCCAGAATGGAGCCGAAGCTATTGGAACCCACTGCTCAGGACACCCTGCATGTGTCCATCACCAGACGAGACTGGCTTCTTCAAGAGAAGCAACAGTTGCAGGTAAGCCGGTGAAGAATCTTCAGGAACTAGGCCAGCATTTTTCTTATCCATGGAAGCCGAATGCGGCAGGGCGGGCCTTTGCTCGGTTTGAGTGTAGCAATTAGAGCTTTGGCCATCCACCCGTGAAGTACAAAAGGGGAGATGGGTGGAGTGGGCCGGAGGGCTTGTAGGAATCTCATTACACGCAGGGGTTGAAAGCTCAGCAGTGTTTGTGCCTGTTTTCGATATTCCTCATTACCTTTTGAATATGCTTTCCTTGTCTGCCAGGCCAATTTGTCACCTCTTATCATTTTGACCTTTACGAGGTTCTTTTGAAAGGCAGGAAGTAATCTGTGCTGCGAAAACCCTTTATGGAAAATTGCATTGAGTTGAAGTGTAAGGAGCAGTTGTTAGGAGCAGGGTTGTAAGTATGGCCTGGGCAAGGCTAGCATGTCTGGGAAAAACTGGTAGACATCGCACAAAGGGAGCTCCAGGTTGGGCCAGAGCAGTAGGTGGAAGTTGGCTGGGAACTGTCTAGAGGCTAGAAGTCTAGGTGCAGCACCGAGTTTAAGGCAGGAGGCCATCATCAGGTGCTCTGGAAGTTGAGGGCTCCCCATCCCCCCTTAGAGGCAGTGAACCTTGAAGCTGGGTCCACACTGGCTGGAGCCTGGAGGCCTTGAGGCAGGAATGGGGAGCAGCAAGGAAGCATCAACTGAAGGTAACGTGATTTCCGGAAAGAGCATAGGTCTTTAACATCCGAGTGCAAATTTTAGTTTAGGTTCTAAACAATGGAATGCATTTAGACTGGTTTATGGGGCTTGGACGAGTTACTGGACTGCCCTCCCATCCCAACTCCCCCCCCGTGCAGAGTATTCTTATTATCTGAATTTGCTCACCCAAGTCCCCACAGTAGCAAGGTGGCAAATGGAGGCAAAAATCATCACAATTTGAAAATGTTCTCCAGTAAACTGAACACTTACATACTCAGTGAGTATCATCATAAAAGCTTGTCATATGACGTATGGGGTTCGGGAGTGAATGGTCAAGAAAGAATTCTTGAGACATCTTTGGGGCAAAATGGTGGTTTTACTAAAGCAGGGGGATAGAACCCGTGGTCAGAAAGAACTGCACTGGGTTTGAGGAGTGACTGATTATATAGTCTTAAAGTTGGGAGGGGTTAGGGGTTGTGTAAGTCTCTAAGGAATTTGGAAGCAAGGTTTCCAGGACCTTGAGGGGTTATTTAGTACTGTCTAGTAAACTCTTCGTCATGAGACCCTTCAGATGTATATCAGTGGGCCATATGTTTGGAAGATGATTGCTAACACGTATCTTGGGAGGGGGGAGGTTGGGTAGAGAGATAAAGGAAGTTTCCAAAGGGATTTTTATGTGTTAAAGACTTGCAGGATCCTGGCAGTCAGGCTAACGTCAAACTAGGGTTGCCTTTTGCCTCTAGCAAAGTATTCACATTGAGGCAGTTGAGTTCCTGGAGGAAGGTCACCCTGCCTTTCTCAAGTACTTGTCAGTGGGCTGCAAAGGAAATTTGATTATTTTTTCCACATTTCTTTTGCTTTTGTTCTCCTCATCAGTTTAGGTAGTTAACAATGGGAAATCTGATTTTTGGTTTTGAACAATATTTACCAGTTAAAGGTCTGCATAATTCCCATAATTCCTGATGATGTCAGAGTGTACAGAAAATAATTTTAGCCTGGGATACTTAGTGTGTGAGGGGAATGTTCTTGGCAGAACTCTGGGGGAAGGTGGATATTCATTTATTCAGCAGGTATTTGAGTGCCTCCTATGTGCCAGATACTGTTTGAAATGCTTAGGATTTCTGCGAAGTTGATGTTCTAGTAGGGGTGGGCGTGGGGGGCTAGATAAGAAATGTCAAACATAATTAATACCTGAATTATCTCCTTACCATGTTGTGGGGTGGTAGGAGCTGTAAGGCATAGGCTAAGATCAACTCATTGTGCAGTGAGATTGAAGCAGAGGTAACAGCCACTTCAGGTGAAGGCCTGAAGGCCTGAAGTGGGGATGTGCCTCACGTATTCAAAGGGCATTCAGCAGGCCAGGGTAGGGGAGAACAGTAGAGGAGAAGGGGTCTTGGAGGGCCTTGCACACCTTAGTAGACACTCGGGCTTGTCTCTGACTGGGAGTGTGGAGCCATTGGAAGGTTTTAAGTTATGAAGTGACATAATCTGACCACGTTTTAAAGAATCACTTTGACTTCTGTGTTAAGAATAGGGTGTAGGGCCATTGTGGAAAAGCACGGTGGGTCTTTATAACATTAAAAATAGAATTACCACGCAATCAGGCAATTCCACTTCTGGGTATATGCCCAAAGGAATTGAAATCAGGGCCTCAGAGAGATGTTACAAGCAGTATTATTCACAATAGCCAAAAGGTGGAAGCGACCCAAGTGTCCACCTCTAGATGAATGGATAAACCAAATGTGGTCCATCCACACAACGGAGTATTATACCAACTTAAGAAGGAAGGAAATTCTAACACATGGTGCAACTTGGATGAACCTCAAGGACATCGTGCTGAGTGAAATAAGCCAGTCACAGAGGGGCAAATATGATGATTCCATTTGCATGAAGTTCCTAGAGATTCGTAGAGACCAAAAGTGGAATGGCAGTTGCCAGGGGTTGGGGGAAGGAGGGGGAATGAGGAGCTGGAGTTTCATGGGGACAGAGTTTTGGTTTATAAGATGAAGAGGTCTTGGACGGATGGTGGTCATGGTTGCACAGCAGTGTGGATGTGCTCAATGCCATGGAACTGGCATTAAAAATGGCTAAGATGGTGAATTTTATGTTATGTGTGTATTTATCACAGTTAAAGAAAGAAAAGAAGAGGGTATGGGCAGAGGTGGAGGTGGGAGGTTCGTTGAGAAACATGCCAATGATACTGTAGTGTGTTGGACCAGTGGGAGACATATTATCTTCTTGGAGTGTTTCAGGGGTGGATCTTCAGCACCTCCTCAGTTTCTACCCCCCACCCCCCTACTGGAAATGGGGTCAGGAGGCAGAAGTTGTAAGTGATCTGTACCTTGGGTTTGAGAGACCACAGATAAGAGATGGGGAGACACCCAGGTTTAGAGCTCTGCTCTTATCAGCAGAAACCAGTGCCAGGGATGCGGGAGTGTGGTTGGTGAGGGAAAGAGTCTCATTTTAAATTCAGAATGCTACAGGCACTGAGATGAGTATCTGCTCCAACACCGTCCACACAATGGGTGTTCAATAACCTGCTGCTTATTTTGTTCTTTGACCTCAAGATTGGATGATACTCTATAGATTCTTTGGGTTTTGGTTTGCTGTATTAGTGGAAATGGAATTTCTTTAATATTTTTATGAACTTTAGACTGCACGGCACTGTCTGCAGCATCCCATGGCGCTTTCAATCTTGTAGACTTAGGAAACTGATTTTTCGTCTTCCTCTACACACTACATTTTCATGTTTGGGGACAGACCAACCGATGATTGTTCGCTTTTCTCTTCCGGCCTGTGACCTGTGTTACCTGCTTAGCTCATACCTCAAGCACATGATGTTTGCTGCTCTATATTCTAGCTCTTCTGCTTGAAATGAAGTAAGTCATTCATATATTTGCTTGGCTCTTCCAAGTCAAATTCCTGGCTCACCCCCCATAGTTACTTAATACTTGGGAGGGAATGTTTTTCCTTATGCCAACTAATCAGAAGTATAAGGCTGGCGTGGTTTTTCCACTTCAGCAAACCTCCAAAAATCTGCCTGCCTCAGAAGGAACTTCACGGCCCTCATGCATATAGCTGACTCCCATTTAAAGGGCTCATTATGAGCAGAGCAGTTTGCTATGAGTAGGGTTAATTTATAAAACCTGGTCTCTCCATTCTCTACAGAAAGAAATCGAAGCTCTCCAAGCAAGAATGTCTGTGCTGGAAGCAAAAGATCAGCAGCTGAGAAGGGAAATAGAAGAGCAAGAGCAACTCCTCCCATGGCAGGGCTGCGACCTGACCACCCTGGTCGGGGGGCTGTCCCTGGGCGAGCTGCAGGAAGTCAGCAAGGCCTTGCATAACACGCTGGCCTTAGCCAACCAGATTCCGCTCTGTGCAGAACCACCTGAAACCATAAGGAGGTATTGATTTCCTAACTGATTTGGGATCGCTCACCTCTGACTGGTTTATGGGACTGATGTTACCTGCTGTCCACAAATATTTTGCAAGCAGGGCTCTAGATTTTCAATGGAAGTGCTATCGTTATTTTGAGCGGGAAAATTCTTCCTTGTGTGGGGCAGTCCTGAGTATTGGGAGATATTTTACATCCCACCAGCCTACCCAATGCCAGGACTCCTCTCCATTCTACTGTGAGCCTCCCCCCCATTTCCAGATACTCCCAGGGCACCTTCTGTCCCTCTACAATCTGTTGCAGCTCAGTTGGTTAGAGATTCTGATGCCAACCCTTGCTGAGGACGATCATCTGGAGAGAGGTGATCTATAACTCTTGCTGGTGGAGGGGGTGAGCCATTAAGGGGGGGGTACTCAGTCAGTGGCAGTGTTTCCATCAGGAAGAAAGAATGATTATTAATAATAGCTAGCATTTATTGAGTGCTTACTCTTTGCCAGGCACTGTGCTAAGCTTTATGAGTTGCTTCTCTTATTATATTTATTTCATAGATGAGGAAAAGAAAGTTCGTAATTTGCCCAGAGTCCCAGTAAGAGGCAAAATTGATACTTAAACGCCTGTTTGTTACTTCTCAGCCTAGTTTCTTATCTACTTACTATGGAGTGAGAATCTTCCCTGTGCTCTGTATTATGGAATATCCACAAGGTGCACTTCTGTGTCTTGCTCTGCGGGAGATCATGGTCTTACTTTGGTGAAAGACAGAAGTCACGTGTACGGGAGCTGAGTAGTGCCCGGATGAACACGCAGATAGGTAGTAAGGACTGCAGGAGGGATTCCTGTTCTGCTCAGTTAGGTTATTATGCTGAAGACAATAGTCCATAAAACTTACGACCTGTAGTGGTTGCGAATGTGGGCTCTGCCATCCAGTTTTCTGGGGGTGAAGCCTCACTCAGCCACGTAACAGCTGGGAACCACTTATTATTTGGGGGAGGGGCTGTGATAATGGGGCTGTTATGTGGATCAACGGTTAATACATATAAAGCTCTCATAACTGTGCGTGGATGGTAGTAAGCACTTCACTCTCCTTACTGCTTGTCATTTTTATCATGGGATTCCAGTCTTCTGAAGGCCTTCAAATTGTGCTGATGTGTCTCAGACTATTTAGTGAATAATGTCCTCTCTTAGCCACATAGCACACCGTATCCAGCCAAGGAAAGCAAGCCACGGGTGCTGTGCTAGGGAGGTGCTTAGAACTTCCTTCTATCCCCCTCCCAGCCCCAATATTTCCCTTCAGAGATCTAACCCCATGGCTCATGCCCATGGGAGAAGGACGAGAGATCTGGATTGTTGCCAAATTTCAGCCAGAGGAAACTGGCCATTGAATATGACTTGTGCTCTCCTGCGGCACCTTATTCCATGTCTCTCTCCCACTCCTGCTTCCTGTGTTCTTCTGTGGAAGTAATTCTAGAGCTGTGTACACACGCGCACACACACGTACACATATGGAGTTAAGGGTGCATATGGTATGTGTCGTATACTTTGTCATATGTCATTATACGTATGCACATATAACATGCATTGTATTTTTCTGTATGCATTATGTGTAATATATAAGATGAACCATACATGTGGATTTATTATTATATTTACAAATACATATATTTACATCTGAGGCTTAAAATGATCCCTTTTTCGTCCTACCATCCAGATGTGTCCTACTTATTTTTCCTTCTGCTTTTCACCACGCACAGGTGTGTTACACATCTCTCAACTCTCACACAAGGTGATGGCTCTTTGCGGGGGGGAAAAAGCTAGGGCATGCTTAACTTAGAATCCACGGCAGTGTTTAACAAAGCCTCTGGGTTTTGAGTTGAATTCCTGGGCAGTATCCCTGCAGGTGTGCCTTGTATTCTATAGAGATGCCAGGTTGTGGAGTGAGCACTTTCTCACACACCAGCTCAGGGCCGCAGGCAGGCTGGTCTCCTCGTTTGCATTTTACAGATGAGGAAACAAAAACTCAGGAGGTTTTCCTGGTGAAGCAGCCACTAAGAGGACTTCTCATATATATCCGTAGCTGCCTTTGGTCTGAACTAACAAAAGATCGTTTCTTTCCAGAGATCCCAGGAAGTTGTTTCTCTTAGTCTAAAACAAGGATCTCCACGGTGTGGTAGGCCGATAGAGCAGGGCCCGTGAACTTGGATCCTATCATTTCCAGTCTGTTATTCTGCCTAAATCCTCAGCCTGGGATGTTTATCATGAGCAGAGCACTGCCAGCACTGAGCGGAATTTTGTGTTGCTGGGAGAGTGACCACCCTGGGACCTCTCCTAATCTGGGTGACCCGGCAACAGGTGACCCCTGGCATCTGATTTATTTACTTAGTGAGGCAGGCGGGCACCTCCCTGCCTTAGGGCAGTTTGGGGCATGTAGGTGCAGGTTTCGACAGATCAGCTTCCTTTCTTACACGCTAGGGAGGTGAGGCTTCATGCTGTTCCTGACCATAAATATTAACTGGAAAAATCATTGTTATTTTGTGGGCTTTCCATTTAAGAAGGAAGACACACCTTTTCCAAGCTGACGGGCTGCAGCATGGACTCCCAGAAATAGAGTGCTTGAAAGAAGTCAAATGTGGAGTCCTATGGCTCAGTAGATCAGAGATCGCTTGGTCTAGTGATTTTTTTTATTTTTTTTATTTTTAAAGATTTTATTTATTTATTTGAAAGAGAGAGAATGAGAGAGAGAGAGAGCACGAGAGGGAAGAGGGTCAGAGGGAGAAGCAGACTCCCCGCTGAGCAGGGAGCCCGATGTGGGACTCGATCCCGGGACTCCAGGATCATGACCTGAGCCGAAGGCAGTCGCTTAACCAACTGAGCCACCCAGGCGCCCTGGTCTAGTGTTTTTAACTAATTGTACACGATCTTGTTAACTTAGTTGTTTCATATGGGATACTGGTTTTCTTTTAGAAGATGTTGACTTGGGGGCATATCTTGTAGGTGCCCCAGCCAGAAGACTGGATCTTAGAGGCACTCAGTAGCTTTGTTGACAAACGTCTTTGTTGTTTATGAGAATAGTTTCTTCTTAGGCCAGATAGAGAGATCCTGACAAACTGTGAAATAGGCAAATCTTGAAGTCTTTTGAAGAGAGGTTGTAGAGACTGGTATTGTTACAAATATGTGGAGAAACAGACCACTCAACATCACAGTTATTATTATCATCACCCATAAAGATTCTTCATAGAGGCCAGCTATAAACTCAGGGTGTTGTCTGGGGAGAAGCTGTTTCTGACTTACCCAACTTGGTAATGTGCAAGTTCAAAAGGAAGGATATGCCTCTTTCCCTGGATAAACTATACAGCTTAAAAAGGAACTTCCTGATAGCACTTGGCATTTCTGAGCAAATCACTGGTGGAGACTCTCTGTGCTTACATGGTGCCATCATTTCTGACTATAGCTCATTGGGAATCTATCTGGTGGGTGTTAGAGAGGGGCTGGAGGTAGAAGGTTGTACGCTAGGGATGAGAGAGCCCATGGCTTTTTATTTGGACATTATAATAGAAACCAAAGCAGCAGTTTGAGTTTTCCGATATCTGTGTTTTGGATCAATTATCTTAGCAGGATGGAATGAAGAGCTGCCTGCTCAGAGATCTCATAGCTGCCTCTTGATAGAGCCAACAGAAATAGTTTTCTTCTAGTGACCAAGAGACCATTTTTAAGCCCCTGGGGAATCAGGAACTCCACATTGTGGAAGCTGATATATCAGGGATGTAGAAAGGACAGGGGCCACTGGAAAGATAAGTTCATTTGAATTTCCTTTATCTCTGGGATTCCAACCCTTCAGACTTATAGCGAACTCCTTGTTTCCTCTTGCAAATTTTCCTTTAATGGGAGAGGTCTGGATGGATAGTTTTTTTCCAGTGAGCTTGGTTCTCCCTCCACATTATCCCATCCTTCTCATTCCATCCCATACTGACTCCACTCTGTTAATCAGTAATGGGATTGGGTGCGAGGGCTGGGGCAAAGGATGGAACACAGAGAGGAAGGATGCGACAGGTTCTGGGGTTTTCCTTGGGCCACATCCCTGCATGTGGGCTGTGAGTTTCCATCTACTTACTTGGCATAAGTTGAGGAGGGTGGTGACTTGCAGCTCATCTCTGTCCGGTGCCATTAGCTCAGCTCCCCCGGCCTCTGTTGGTCTGTGTGTGTGCCTTGCACACCAGGGAAGAGCCGGGCTGTGACCCCGTCCAGCAGCGTGTGGCCAGCTGTGAGGAGCGATAGGAATAATCCCAGTCCTAACAACAGAGATGAGGGCTGTGGACGGGTACTTCCTAACGCTCTTTAGATGCCCGTGACTGGCTTTATTAGCCTGTGGTTGGGCTCTTCATTCCTTAGCTCCGTGGCAGGTGCGTGAGGGACCTCGGTCAGGGTGACTGATCAGCATGGGGGTAGCAGGTGGCCCCCCCGGCCAGGGCTGCTCCCTCCTCCCTGCTCGTACCGCCCGGGGCTCCCCAGTGAGGGCGATGGACTGTTCAGGAGCCCAGGCATGCCCGTGAGAGGAGTCTTCAGTCCACAGGGAGAAGCCCAGGCCAATATCAGGGCTCCTTTCAAGACAGAGTTGAAATAATGGAATTCAGCAGTTCACAATTGACTGGAGCAAAATCAAGAGTCCCACTTTCCCCCCAGATCCATATCTCATGAGAGTGAGGAGGCTCAGTGAACACAGCAGGGCCCGGATCAGGAAACAGGCCTCCATGTCCGGCAGGAGGAGCATGCGGGATCCTCAGCGGGTATGTGGAGAGGCAGTTGTGTGTCCCTGTGTGCGGGCTGACTGCAGGAGGTGGCCCAAAGTGGGGTGATGCAGGCACTTTAGGACACCCCTCTGGTCTCCCAGCCTCTCTCCATTTGTGTGATTGTGTTCTTTTGTCTCTCCTTCTGGTCTTTGTTTTTCTTCCTTCTCTGCCTTTGTCTTTGACCTGGTAGGTCTGTCAGGAGCAGTGGCTTTATGGGACTAATCCAGCA